ACACATCATAAAAGTAGTCAATACTTGTGCACTACGTGAGTCATTTCTGAAATCATATAATAGATTTGTCTGAGAAACAGACCCAAATTTAATTAGTTATTCACTGAAAGTCTCTCTCATATGAAGCTTTTTGTGAAAATACAGGTTTGGGAAGACGGCAATTTCAAGTGTGTTAAACCTGCTTAGAGGAATAGTTCACCAAAAAATTAAAATTTGCCGAAAAATGACTCCTTAGGCCATCCAAGATGTAGATGAGTATGTTTCTTCATCAGATTTGGAGACATGTAGCATTACATCGCATGCTCAGAAATGGATGCTCTGCAGTGAATGGGTGCCGTCAGAATGAGAGTCCAAACAACTGATAAAAACATCACAATAATCCACAAGTAATCCACACCACTCCAGTCCATCAGTTAATGTCTTGTGAAGAGAAAAGCTGCGTGTCTGTCAGAAACAAATTCATCATTAAGATGTTTTTAACTTCAAACTATTGCTTTCTGCTAAAATACAAGTTCTCTGTCCATAACATTGCTTTCTCCAGTGAAAAAGTCACTGTGTCTGAATCAGGAGAGAAATATGCACAGATCAAGCAACGTTTACGAACCAAAACAGTCCAAAACAAATGTGTGGGTGGATTTTGATGTGAGTGGACAACAGGAGATGGACTTTTTCACTGGAGTTATTATGGATTATGGACTCATATTTTGGCCAGAAGCAACGGTTTGAAGTTAAAAATGTCTTAATGATGGATTAATTTCTTTAAAAAACACAGCTTTTCACTTCACAAGACATTAACTGATGGACTGGAGTGGTGTGGATTACTTGTGGATTATTGTGACGTTTTTATCAGCTGTTTGGACTCTCATTCTGACGGCACCCATTCACTGGTGAGCAACTGATGTAATGCTACATTTCTACAAATCTGATGAAGAAACAAACTCATCCACATCTTGGATGGCCCGAGGGTGAGGACATTTTCAGCCAATTTTCATTTTTGGGTGAACTGTTCCTTTAAGCAGTATTTATCAAAATGCATTTGCAGCTAATGTCTGTCAGTCCTCTTCTGCAGCCGGGATTTTACTGTAAAAGTCTTGAAATGAAAATGCTAATTCACGTTTCTCAGCATGATTGTATAATGAATTCACTCCCTGTGAATCTGACCTAGCGGTGTATGTCTCGCATAACTGACTCAGAGGGCGAGGGTCGAGTCCTCTGTCAGCAAACTTCCTCTTTTTAGGAGACAAGAGGATGTAGAAATAACTTCCAGCGCTTGAGGGGCTCTTTGACATTTTGTTTTGACACCAGGCTTGGGAAACTTCATCAAAAAATGTAAATTCAGAGAATGCATCACATAAAGGCATAGTGCATGTCACGTATAAGAGCAGCATTTTGTAATTGGTGTCTGGTGGAGGGAAACTCTTCTTCTAAAAGTGCACCAGTCGTTTTTCGTCTGCGTTTTGCTGGGCCCTATGACATCGTTCTAGGATGTGTCATCATGCAGTGAATGCTCAGAAATCATGAGCCACGATTCATTTATTCAGCAACCAAAACTTGAGACTGATTTTTTGTGATTTTAACAATTTTTTATAAACAGACCTACCATATGTTGTAAGGCAGTAAAGTGAGGATATTCTTCTATTTATTTATTTATTTGTTTGTTTGGTTGGTTTAATTGGCAAATTCTCAGATTCATTAATTTGAATCAGAATTAAATATGCCAAAGTGCGTAGGACGATACATTGAATTAAAAGAGGAGTTTTAATTCAAATCCAATTCAGGATCTTGATATACCAGTCAAACGTTTGAAATAAATATGATTTTTTAAAATATTTTTGAAAGAACTCTCTTCTGTTCACCAAGGCTGCATTTATTTGATCAAAAATACTGTAAAAACAGTAATATGTGAAATATTATTAAAATTTAAAATAACTGTATTCTATGTGAACTTTGTAAAATGTAATTTATTTGATCAAAACTGAATTTTCAGAAATCATATCCTTCAGAAATCATTCTAATATGCTGATTTGCTGCTCAAGAAACATTTCTGATTATTATCAATGTTGTGCTGCTTCATGTTTTTTGTGGAAACTGAGATACATTTTATTTTTCAGAATTCTTTGATGAATAGAAAGTTCAAAAGAACAGCATTTATTTGAAATAGAATTATACATGTATTTACTGTAGTTTTGGATTCATTTAATGCATATTTGCTGAATAAAAGTATTAAAAATTTTACGTATTTCAAACTTTTGACCAGTAGCATGTATGTATGGCAGTATTTTGCAATGAGAATATGCAGCTTCAAAACTTTGTAATGGCTAAAAGTCAGTCGTTTTAAGCTGTACCCTTTTTATTTGATTATTTGCAGTTCACTTCATTGGATTGTAGTTCACAGTTTTATAGTTTCCTATTCTGTTTGCTTCAAGAAGTGATGTTGTGATTTATCCTAGAGCTGGTTGGTGTGTTTCAACATTTACAACTCTTTATTAAAATCGCTACATGGAAAATCAGTGGGAAAAATACCTCCAAAATCAAGTGGACAGTCCCTGTTGTTCTTCATTTGATCGGTGTTATCCAGAAACCCTGAAAGGCCTAAAAAAAATGAGGGATTGCTGTTGGTTGACAGCGTGTGGTATTGTTCTGTCAACGTTGAGCTGAAGTTGCTTCGGATCACCATTTGAAGCTAATTCTCTGTGTGTGCCTGCGATGAAACACAAAACACACTCCAAGGGTTTTAACAAACTCCGCATTCAGGAAACTGTTTTCAGGCGTCATGCAAAGCTTTTTTGTATCTGCAGCAGAGTTATTTCTTCTTTCAAACTCCCTCTTCACTGTCATTCCTAACGAAAAGCGGGTTTCGGTTGTGTAGCGAGGCTTCACACGTGTCCGTGTGAAGCTGAGGAAAGCTGTTTCCTGTCTGAAAGCACCAAACAAGTTAATTCAAGAGGGGATAATTGGTCCCTTGATCAAAGCGGGCCGGTTGAGCGGGACAGCAGCTAGCGATCCTATACGGTTTAGCATACAGTGCTGCTTAGTGTAATTGGACTGTGTTTTCTGCTGTGGATGTGCACCTAATCATCTGTGCTTGTCTGTTTTGCTTTGGCCCTCAAATCCACACACCAGAAGAGAGCCAACAAAGCACCAAACACGGCATGTTTTTCTTCTCTGTGTGTCGGGACGTCCAGAGAGAGAGAAGTAAACCTTTGTTTTAGAGCGAAATCACGCGCACGTTGTTGTTTACAAGCTTATTTCACACTAAGATCGTTGTAAACCGATAACGAGTCAGTGTTGATTTGCGTCTGCATTGTAGGGATACTGAAGCCGGTCGAATGCGCTAATGTTAATCACATATAAACACCGGGTTTTCACGCTGGTGTTATCAGCGGTGTTGTTTGCTAATGAGATATAATTGTGTAAATGACACTGAAGTGTCCCGGGGTCGCATTTAACGCAGATTTTATTTGTCTACTGAATGCAAGAGCGTTATATAAAACCCCAAGACATGCCCTTGGAAATTCATAAGCGTGATTCCAACCCGCTGAACATTGAGGCACTCAGTAAATATGAATATCAATTGATTTACAATTACAACACAGCTGTGGTTGATCATTAAGAGGGATTGCTATGTCAATGACTATTGCTTTGACTTCTACTTAGGGTTAATGAAATAAGCAAAATAAACCAAAGTATTGAAATTTGTAACTCGTCTTGCACCACAAACTCTTTGGAATAATTATGATTTTTAATGCTTTTGAAAGATGTCTCTTTAGTTCACCAACGCCACATTTATTTGTTCAAAAATACAGTAATATTGTGAAATATTATTACATTTTAAAATAACTTCTATGTGAATATTTTGTAAATTGTAATTTATTGCTGTGATCAAAGCTGAATTTTCAGCATCATTACTCCAGTCTTCAGTGTCACATGATCCTTCAGAAATCATTCGAATATGCTGATTCGCTCCTCAATTATTATCAGTTATTATTGGTGATCGGTTATTTTGCTGCTTAATATTTTTGTAGAAACTGTGAAACCTTTGTTCTGCATACTTTGAATGAACAGAAAGTTCAAAAGAACAGCATTTATTTGAAATAGAAATCTTTTGTAACATTATAAAGTGTCTTCACTGTCACTTTTGATCAATTTAATGCATCCTTGCTGAATAAAAATATTATTATTATTGATTTTAATCTTACCTGTATCACGGTTTATGAAGCAGCACAACTGTTTTCAACATTGATAATAATCAGAAATGTTTCTTGAGCAGCAAATCAGCATATTAGAATGATTTCTGAAGGATCATGTGACACTGAAGACTGGAGTAATGATGCTGAAAATTCAGCTTTGATCACAGGAATAAATTACATTATAAAATATATTTAAATAGAAATCAGTTCTTTTAAGTTGTAATAACATTTCACAATTTTACTGTTTTTTGCACCATTTTTAATTAAATAAATGAAGCCTTGGTGAGCAGAAGAGACTTCTTTCGAAAACTTTTTACGAGCAATGTAAGCAACATTCAATTCTTCCTCAGAAAATGTACAACTCTAGTTGTTTTCAGGCAGTCCTTGCATGAACCCTGTATCCCTGAGATCATATAGTTTAATTTCAGTCTCAAGAGTAAACGCTGACGTCTAGCAGAAATGGAGCAATATCGCTTTTATTAGTTTTTCTTTATTTGTTTGAAGGCTTAAAGCTGCGGTTATTACAGTGTACTTGTTGATTTGATCTTGTTTTGCTCTCTAAAACTTTTGTTGTGCGTGCTCCTGATAAGTCTCGGGGGATTTCTGCTCATCCTTCGGGTGCTGTACAGATGTTTTCAACTGTAAACAAAGACATTGCCTTCCAGAAGCATCTGCCAGTCTGAAAAATTTTTGAGAATGCTGCGTCTTTACAGGGATTTTACGTAAAAATGGCACAGACTCTGTCACGTTGATTAATTAGTATGGAATACATTAAACCACACCAGTTTTTCCTTGGTTTTCTTTTGACAGGTAACCATCCACACGACTATACCAGCCATCTGGATCTCACTGGGTCACACACGCCCAAAATCGGTGAGTTGTTCGATATCTTTGTTTCCAGTAAATCCCGTTCATCTGCAGTATGAAAATGCTGCTCATGAAATGATGCTCAAATACGGCTCCGAGTTTTAATTGATTTATGACGACATATCGATATTATCAGCGTCTTCCACATCCAGATGGTTTGAAGTGTGAAGAACGTGGTGTATAATATCAGATTGGAGTAATTAATGGAGCAAGATTTTATCTCTAGAAAAGATTTTCATAATTAGCCTCATCAGATGAGCACTGATAATCTCCATTACTTAAGATGCTTAACTCCCCGACGGCCCTCGAGATCAGAGATGCCTTTCACCCAAAATTTGATTGGGATTAAAAAAAGCAGGGTTTTGACAAAAAACAGCCTCTTGACAGGAAATTAAAAGCTTAGCCTGTAAATGGCCCCGCTAGCAGGGAGGATTGTGTAACTAAACAGTATGCTAATCAGATCTGCACAGTTTGCCGACGGTATTGAAAAGCCACAGTTGTAATTGTTCTGACTATATCTCGTCTTCCCAAATTTGATTTTGTGTGAAAAAGCTTTTCAGACTGTAAGCACACATCGGTCACATCTCTCGTGGTGGAACGGCATTGCCATTAGTTTATGCACTCAGTTAAATCAAGCTCCTTGTGTGCTAGATATCACAAAAAAAAAAAAAAACAGT